CTTTCTTCTTGAGCTAGTGAAGAACTTCTTCTTCTTGCCGTCAAACTTGATGCCACTCTTGTTTAGCTTCTTTAGCATCTTGGCGGTCTTTTTCACCATGAGAGCAAGACTTTCTTCATCATCTTCATCACTTGAGCTCTCATACTCAAGTCTTGCCTTGCCCTTATCTTGGCTAGCTTTGAATGCTAAATCCTTCTCTTTCTTCTTTGTAGAGGTTGAGCCATCTTGTGGCGTGATGTGCATGTACATCTCATGAGCATTGATCTTTCCTAAGATTTGTGTCGGTGTAGCGGCGGAAAGATCACCTTGATGTAGCACGGTCACAATGTGCCCATATTTGTCAATAGGGAGGACACTCAAGATCTTTCTCACAACGTCGGATGGTGACATTTGAGTAAGTCCAAGCCCATTGACTTCCTCTACAAGAACATTCAAACGAGAATACATTTCATTTGCACTTTCTTTGGGAAGCATCTCAAAAGAATTTAGCTTTTTAATCACAAGATGATAGCGTTCCTCACGCTCACTCTTGGTTCCCTCATGGAGCGCACAAACGTCCGACCATAGTGCATGGGCGTCTTTGTGGTTCCTTACACGATTGAACACATCTTTGCAAAGGCCTCTAAAGATGGTGTTGCGAGCCTTTGCATTCCATTTTTCATAGTTTACTTCATCGTCTTGAAGTTGTGCGGCATTCTTAGGTGTTAGGAACCCTTGAGAGGCGGCTCTAAGAATTCCAACATCTAGAGCTTCTAGGTAAGCCTCCATGCGAATTTTCCAATATGGAAAATCATCCTCCTCGAAGATAGGAGGAGGTCCATCCCCGTGAGACATCTTGCTCTAAGCGGTTAGGCTTAAAAACATGAGCACGAGGCTCTGATACCAAGAGGGGGGGGTGAATTGGGCTAATTCTAAATTTTCTTGCAATAATCAAATCCTACGGATAGCCCAATTAACCCCTTGTGCCTAGAAAAGTGTTTATATCAAACTAATGCACAACAACCTCGCAACCTATGTTCCAAACTTACTCTAGCAAGCAATTCTATGGATGTGAAACAAGTATTGAATTGCTCAAAGTAAATACTCAAAGTAAGTGCTCAAAGTAAATAGAGAGAGAAAGGAACGCGGTGATGTTTTGCCGAGGTATCGAGAGTCGCAACTCCCCACTAGTCCTCGTTGGAGCACCAGCAAGAAGGGTGTAGCTCCCCTTGATCCGCATGCAAGGATCAAGTGCTCTCTCTGGGTTGATTCTTGACACTCCGTCGCGGCGAATCACCCAAAACCGCTCACAACTTGAGTTGGGTCACCCACAAGCTCCGTCGGGTGATCACCAAGCTCCCAATCACCACCAAGCCGTCTAGGTGATGGCGATCACCAAGAGTAACAAGCACGAACTCTCACTTGACCACGCATGAAGCCTAATGAGAAGATGGATGCACACTTGTCTACTCTTGATTCACTAATGAGGTTTCACTCTTGGATTCTCAAATCACAAACACCTCACTAGGACCTTGCTCTTCTTGGCACTCACAAACGTGTTTCTCAAATTGTTGGAATAAGCAAAAGTAACTCCACTCACGAGTGGAGCAACTATTTATAAGGCACCTGAAAAACAAACCGTTATGAGCTTTCGGGGTGACCGGACGCTCCGATCGTTTTTGACCGGGACGCCCGGCCGAGTTCAACTCGCAGCATGATTTTCACGTGATGACCGGACGCTGTCAGGGTCCGGTCGCTCTTGGATGCTTACTGTAAACGACCGGACGCTAGATACTCAGGGTCCGGTCACTACTGACCGGACGCGTCCGGTCACACTTTCTCAAGTCTGAACCTTTACTGGAGTCGACCGGACGCTGGCCTTCAGCGTCCGGTCACACGACCTTCCAGCGTCCGGTCACTCCAGACTTGTTCTCCTCAGTCAAATGAACTGACCGAACCCTGCGGCCAGCGTCCGGTTGCACCGGAGCCAGCGTCCGGTCAGTATTTGACCCTCCATTCACTTCCAACTTTCGATCATATGTGAATGAAGTTAGCTCCAAAGGATCTTAGACATTCATAGGAGCTACCTAGAGCTAGTTTTAACAAGTGTGCACCACACCTAACTCACTAGACTCAACTAGGTCAAGCTACCCGTTCATACCCCCCTTCATAGTACGGCCAAAGGAAAAACAAAGTCCTAAACTACTCTAAGTGTCTCTCCAACTTCAATTGACACTTAGAACTAGTTATCCTTAACCTTGTTGTCCATCCTTTGAAAACCGAAACGATTTCCATCGTAGGGGCATGACAACCTCAATTGCCCAATCGATCTCCATTACCATGACCTAACTTAATTGCCTCTGCAAAACACACGTTAGTCATAGTAATCTTGTATTGACATTAATCACCGAAATCCACTTAGGGGCCTAGATGCTTTCAACAAGTATGTAATGCAATGCATGAAAGAAAACGTGAATGCACAAAGTATCACACATAAGGAAACGAATCACATGCTCCCCCTGGATCACATGCTCCCCCTAGATCTAACATACTCGCTCCCTCTCCCCTTTGGCGTCAAGCACCGAAACCTAAGGGTCGGACGGTGGAATAGGAGTAGACGAGTCGGGCACTGAGGTGTGGTGAGAAATCTAAAACTAAGCAGCAGCATCCTCTGACCCTGAACTCTGAGCGGTCAGACCCTCTGTCACTGGAAGTGAAGGTGAAGCGGTCTAGGTCTGCTCAGTAACTGGTGCGGCCTATGACTCTGGAAGTATCACTGTAAGAAGTGGAGCCACATCTGCCTCTGTAGCTATCGCTGACTGAGATGGCTCGGATGATGCAACAGATGAAGGAATCGTCTCTGTAGTCTTGGTCACTGGAGCAACTGTGGTAGGGACAGGGACTCGTAACTCTGGAGGTGTAGGCTGCCCTTTGAGATCACTGAAAGTAGCACCGAGACTCCTGTAGACTAAGGTGTCTGTCACTAACCCTGAAGAACTCTGAGTCGAAGTGTAGCCCGTAATAATGGGAGTAAAGTGAGGACCCTAAGCTGTCACTGGTGAAGCAAACCACTGGAACACTTGCTCTGTAGGTGAAGCAAACTGAGTAGCTGGTGGTCCCTGACTCTAAAGCCCACTGGGTTGTATAGCTGGAGTCACTAATGTAGTGGTAGCAAGCTGGCCTATCTGAGGTTAAGACTGCTGAGGAGCAGCCCCGATAGCAGAGAATATGTGTTGCATGAAGCCAAGTAACTGCTGCTGGATCATAAGCTGCTGCTGCTGCTGCATGGCCTGCTGCTGCCTCTGAAACTCATCCTGTTGAGCCTGAACCTGAGCAAGTGCAGCTACGGTCTCCTGTGCCTGGCGTGCCTGGTCTTGCCTCATTCGCTCAAGTACGGCTAAGAGTGCCGGGTCTGTCTGCGGTGGCTGTGGTGAAGCTGAGCTGGAGCCCCCGGCCTCACTGTCGTGTGGACGAGGTGCCATATGCGGAATTGGCTGATAATCATCGTCTGAGCTATCAGTAGGGTTGCGTCACGCGCGGGCCGCCATCGCTTGTGGGCTGTGCAGCTGCACTCGTGTGGAATCTCTCGATCGCAAAAGGGAGGTCGGCGCGTGACTCCGGTCCGACCGGAAGATTTGCGGGGGGCGAGGGAGATGAGCGGACTACAAATGGGCTGGGGTGTGCTGCAGGGCTGCCGCACGTTGCGAGCGCAAGGCACCGAGAGGACGAGGGCCGCGAGGTTGGGCCGGGGCGCGCTAGCTTGATACAGGCCTGCGGCCGGCTGACGAGGCCATGACCCGTGTGGCCGCCTGCTTGTCCCTGCCCTGCGGGCAATGCAACAGCAACAGGCCCGCCGGCGGTCCAGCCGTTCCGGGGGCTTCGAGCAAGCCGGCAAGCGAGCTAGGAATTGTTAAGCTTGGAACGGGTATTTCTATGGTTAACACAATTCCATCCGGCAACTTTAATCTTCTGAGTTCAATCTCTACTATTTTTTTCTATATAAATATCAGCCTTATATATGGTAAGTACAACTGGTTTACATTCAACTTGTCGAACGGCTAGAGTAGCACAGAAGATACACATGCGGTCCCGTTGTTATGCCACGTCGACTTGTTTCGGATGCCATGCCACGTAAGTGACACGAGCCGAACATGCAGCGAACACATGTGCAGAGAGATGATGTGGCTGAACTAGTGCATTCTTATCCACCCTAACTAGAGAGCTGTATAATATAGGATATACATACTAGGCATTACAATGTTTGGGTGAATGGATGGGTGTATTATATTGGCTCTATCGGTACGGTGGGGTTAACTTAATACTCTCTCCGTACTTAATTATGTATCATAAATATTAATATTTTTTAATATATATTTATTTAAAATTATTTGTTGAGAAGCGAAAACGATCGACGTTTAGGGACGGAGGGGGTACTCGTCTCGTGCAATGCATCAAGTGACGGGCCGGGGTGAAACTCTGTAAAACAACGGTCAGATACATTTGAGCCAACGCCAATGTCAGATACATCTCATCAGTGTCACTGACCAGCTGAAACTGACAGTACATTCGACACGGGATACATGCATTTACAAACCAGAAGCGAGGCGACCTGACTTACTAATAAGACTAGTTCCTCCGTTGCTAAATATTAATCGCCACGATTTATATGTTAACAACTTTGACTCGATTTATAGAAAATACGTAACATTTCTATCTCTATATAAATTTACTAAAAAACTATATTCAAATATCTATCTAATGATACTAATTATGTATCATAAATATTAATATTTTTAATATATATTTAGTCTAAGTTGTTTTTCGGAAAACGAAAACGACAGCGAGTAGCAAAGATGATTGAGCAGACTGTGGACTAGCTAGGTACACACGTACGTACTGTACGTGGTACGTAAACACACACACTTTTATGTGGGTACTACTTATTACGTCATCACACTGATCGATGGAACTCTAGCTTCAGGTGAGAGATAACTGATGATCGATCCATCAGAATCAAATCATCAGACCCTAGGTCCTTTGGGCTCGCCGGCGCCCGCTCCGCCGCCGACGCCGTAGTCGTGGTCCCGGTATCCGCCGCTGCCGCCGAAGAGTCCCGCGTGGAGCATGAGCACGTAGAGGAGCTGCGTGAAGGCGAGGATGATGACGAAGGCCTCCAGCACGCGCAGGCGCCACCCGCGGTGGCCCCCGACGTTGATCTCCTTGCAGGCCAGCCCGAAGGCGAGCGCCGTGATGGCCCAGGCGATGAGCGACGACGCCGCGTTGGTGGCCAGGCTGTCGTGGCGCCACGCGCGGACGTGGTGCACCCCGGCCAGCTTCGACGCCGCGCCCACCACGCCCGCCAGGATCGCGAACACCAGGAAGTAGAACGTCGCGCCGTTGCCGGCCACGCCTGCATGTCGTCATGTGCAATTGCATCATCAAGCTTACGAAGAACTAATAATAACTAAGCATGAATTAATTAGTACGTATTGGCCATACGTACCTGGGTAGTTGGTCTGCCCGTTGATGTAGTGGTTGAGGTTCCAGCTCGCGAAGCAGATAACGATGAGGTACATGATGAGGTTCAGCACCATCAGCGGCGCCACCATGTTCCTCGCAACCCCGGCCATTCTTCTCTTTCTTGATTCCTCCCACGCACTGCAGGGTGCACACTAGCTGCTACTTCTGTGCTAGCTAAGCTTTGAACATACAGCAATGGCGAGCAGACAGCTGCTGCGCAGTGGCACTCGAGCTACTAGCTTCAGTAGTTAGACCAGGAAGGCGAATGGACAGACTTGCATTGACGAAGCAGCAGATCCTGCCGTGTCCTGGTTTTAAAGACGCAGGGGGGTAGGGGACCAATCAGTCGGCCAAGCCTGCCACGATGCTTATCTATCCGATCCGTTGCCGACGCGGGGGAGCTAGCTAGCGTGAGGCTGAAGCGGCGCATGCAGGCGCACACAGGGGAGCAGCAGAGAGCAGGTCGCCTTCGCCCTTCGGCTTTGCATGCGCGGAGGCGCGTGAGGCGCCGACGCGTGTGCGCGCACCGCCAGCGCAGCGCGCGCGCCCAAGCGTCGCCGTCGGCCGCGCGCACAGGTGGTGGGGTGCAGGTCACGTACGTGGCGTGCCCGGGACCGCGCGCGCGCAAAGCGCGCAGGCGTGCAGCTGCCCACCGCACGAGCTGGCCAATCCGGCAGGAACGGATGCTTCTACGGCCCGTTCGCTGGGTCTTATTTAAAGATGGCAACGGGTCTGCCCGTTGATGGAGGTTGCCTCCCCATCTCCGAAGCAGATAAAAATCCCGCCCCCATGATGAGGCCAGCAGCTCAGCGGGGACGATTTCTCCCAACCCCGCCCATTCTTCTCGAAAAATTCCTCCGTCGGGATCCCGCCCCGCATTTGCTTCATCACCAGCTAAGGTTAATTCATCATCATTCAGCATGAGTTCATGGACACAATATTAGAGTACACCAGGAATCACAATCCAAAATAGCTAAATAGCAGAGCCGTGTCCTGGATATTAATCATCGCAAAGGTGTAGAACAAGGGTTATTGCCTGCCACGATGCTTATATATCCGATCCGAAGACATTGGGCCTTAGCATGGGCTGGTGAAGGGCCATCAGAAAGAGAGCAAGGGAGCAGCAGAGCAGGTCGCCTTCGCCCTTCGGCTTTGCATGCGGGGATGCGCGTGATCGGGACGGGAATGCGCGCACCCCAGCACCCGCCCCGCCAAGCGTCGCCGTCGGCCGCGGCACAGGTGGTCCCGTTTAGATCACGTACGTGGCGCATATTTGACTCCATCCGCGTCCCCTAAGCGCGCAGGGGAATGCCCACCGCACGAGCTGGCGAATCCGGCAGGAACGGATGCTTCTACGGCCCGTTCGCTGCGTCTTATTCGACTTATAAACCATGATTTATCAGCTAATGAACAGTATTTTTTTCTCACACCAAATCAGCCAACAATACTTTCAACCATGGCTTATAAGCCAAACAAGTCCAAACAAACAGGGCGCTAGTTTGGGCGCCACCGCCCACCGAATTCTGGGATTTGGAGTATTCTACTCGCGAGCGTGCAGTTCTCGAGGTGTCCGTCTAAGGCAGTGTTCGGCTGGTATGGATTATTTATTGTTCATGCTAGAAAATAATGTTTATGCTGAAATGTTGTGAGAGAAAAATACTGTTTCGGATGGAAAAAAAAAAAGAGACCAAGCCGGCTGACCAGCCAGCCGAACACTGCCCAAGCTCCTGTGATCCCCATCCCCATGCTCGCCAACTCGTACATTAGGTTAGTCTGAAATGTTAAAATGGGCAACTGGCCGCTTGGTTTATAGTAGATGCAAAGAAAATGGAACGTTCGTTTCGCTGAAATTTAACTACGCTAATGTTAGTGTTGATTTATTGTGAGAGAAAAATAATATTACTTCGCTGAAAAGTGCGGTTGAAGTAGTGCTGAAAAACAGAACGAACATGTGATGCACCAACTATAGTAGGAATTATCCTCCGACAAGTAGTAGATCAGCATTTTGTGCGCAGGGAATTAGAGGGATAGCACAAAAGACATACATTTATAATGGTTCAGGTACGAAATACCTTACGTCCAGTGGAGAATGCTTGTCTTGGTTCATATGCTCAGGTTTAGGGGCGAAGCCAGGAAGTTAATTTTTTTAATATTACGGAACCAGCAGTGTTAAATTTTTAAAATTTATTTGAATTTCAAAAAATTCAGTGGAGATTACATTCATAGGGGGGGCCCTGCCTGCCTCCCCTTGTCTCTGCCCATGCTCATGTTTAAGGGGCGTTGATGAGTATGCGCAGGATTCCTAGCTATGAGATATTGATCTATCATATGGATCGCCACCCCTACCTCCCCTTATTTAGTTGGGGAGGAGGGGGTAGGGTTATCAATGGAATGACGAATGACCTGAATCTATGGTTTACTTAATTTGTTTATAAGGTAATCTCAACTGATCAAGCGGACCAACATGATTTACTTGGCTTCCAAGGCTATCTAGTCAATATCTTGTCTTTCAAGTAGTAGATATAACTCATCCGACTTAGGCTTCTTCATCAGCAAGCTTGGCCCATCTGGTTCTAGCAAGGGTACCTAGGGTCCAATATACCAACACATTCGAATTCTAAAGCTCTAGGGCCTAAACCTCACAAAGATGAACAAGAGATTGATCCTATGACTTCGATTTGATCAATATGCACATGAGAGACCGGATAGAGTGTATAATCACTTATATATTCTAGCTTCCAGCAGCATTTGGGCACTCCAATTACCTTAAGAAAGTGAATAGGAACCCATATATTTAGCCTATCCACCATAGCTAACCGTTAGCCAAAGTTTGAAAAAGTAGCACTAGCCGGATAATCCGGTGCGGTAAAATTTTCCTTGGTCTGATAGTGATAGTCCTACCCGTACTAGCCATTGAAGTAGTTGATGTAGATCTTGCTGATGTATTAGTCCAACAGTGACTTTCTTCACCTAGCCGGAATGCCCGACCTGTTCATTTGAGCAGTGCCACAGCACTATGTGCTGGCTGGACAAAGTCCAACTATTCGATGTGTTGTATTTCTCTTTGGCTGAATCACTCGTCGTGTGTTTTTTGAACAGTGACCGTAGATAATTTCCAACGGCCTAGCTTTAGCCAATTGTCCAACATTGCTCGACTCCATCGCTGGATCGTCCAAAGCGTTGTAACGAATGGTACTACTAGTATAGCAAGTGACCAAACCTGAGCAGCCATGTCCCCGAAACGATAGGGGCTAGGAACGAGGAACATGGTATGACACTGGTATGGTACGTTTTGTACCGTGGGAAGAAACTATTCTCAGAATGACAAATGTGGCTATGTTCCATGTGCATGCTGCTAAGGGCCAAACCGGCCTAAGTTAAGGATCTTTCCTCATAGTTTACCACTGGTTTGTTTCATCATTCTACTTTACCGGATCTTCAATTACATAGAACAGGTTACTATCATGATAAACTTCATGTGGGTCTCAAGTCCATCTCACTCGATGCACTATCTATCACATTACGTGACAGTCCCTTAGTGAATTGATCTGCCAGAATTTTAGACGTATGGACATAATCCAAACGCTATCACTCCGAAGTTTCTTAATTTTCTGATATATTTTAACCGCTTCTTTACATGCCTTGTGGACTTCATGTTATCCTTAGAACTGTTCATCTTGATTATCACAGTTCATAAAAATAGCCGATATAGGTTTTTCTACTACCGATAAATTCATAAGGAGTTCACGAAGCCACTCGACCTCAACAGTGGCGGTATCTAATACTGCGAGTTCCCCTTCGTCTTGTGTAATTTCCTTACAGAGTCTTCCTTTGTTGATTTCTTCATTTGTTCTTCGTTTCTTCATGCCACTTGTCTAAGACAATACACGTGTTATTCTTAATGTTTGTGTTATCATCCAAATCACCAAAACCATATATGATCTCGCATATAGACACGTATAATCCTTAAAAACTGTATTCTTATTCGGTCTCTCTGTTTAAAAAGGCAATGCCTAACTCCATTTAGCGTTGCTGCACCACCTCATCTAGTCTAGCTACTAGTGTTTTGTCTAGATTTTCTCCACATGGAGATGCCTTTTTTTTTTTAAATCATCATAGAATGCTTTTGATGTATGTATAGAAATGAAACAAATCAGAGATTGAGAAAGATAAACTCCGGTATTATATATACTCATGAATGCATATAATGCCCAATTTTGTCTGTACAGAGACAGATGCACGTATGAAAATGGACCAAGTAGTGATGGACAAAGATAAATTGCGATTATATTACTTATGAATGCATATAATATCAAATTTTCATGATGTGCTGAATTTCCCTTTTTATTAGCATGGCATTACTCTAACTGTTAGAAACGGTTAGGCACGCTAAGCCTGTCGCTGGCCTGGCGCCTAGAAACACAGTCAGTCTACAAGATACAAAGTTGCCAAATCTAAAAAAATGCCAACCAAATGGAAACATGTCGGTGTCGCATTGGATCAGTCTCTAAAATATGTAAGACAATATCTACGGTAGTTAGTCATGCGTTTTGCACTTCACAACAGACCTGACACTAAGCCCTCAAATTCAAAATATATGGATTAATCATATCAAATTGCCTCTTGGGAATCGCATCCACAAACAAGCAGCTTTACTGAATAGACAGTATTATTGTTATATAAAAAAGAATAATGTTAGTTTCTCGAGAACAAAAAGGCAAGTCAATTATTAGATGCGGCAGCGCAACAAAAAGAAAACAAAATCTAAACGCTAGGTTTCAAAAAACCCAAAAGTGAGCTCCAAAAATTGAAGAGGATTCCTTTCTCTTAATCTATCAAAATTTGAAGAAAAATCAGCCTGTCTAGACAGTCTAGTATTATTCGTAATACTTCCATCTCCTATTAGTTCTGGATCTCACAAAACTCTTTCCAAGTCTTCTGGACTCTACACAGGATTGTCGACACCTGTAATGTGGTGTAAATAGAGTGGTTAACAGTGTATAACAAATCACCAAAAAACTTGGAGCATAATATAGATAATTCAAACTTTCAAAGGAGATTTACTGTATGCTATGTAGGTTCTATATTAGTTTTGTTCTATTAGTTTTTA